TAATTCTGTACATCTGTGGAATGAACAGAAATGCTGCACGGAGGAACATTTCATATTGCTGTTCCCACTGTTACGTATTAACTTGTAAAAACATAAAAACCCCCACATTTTAAAGATCCTTACTAATCACCTTGTTTAATTTTTAGTTAAAAACATAACCACATCATTTGTATTTAATATGAATACAAAATCCATAGAAATTACTTTTTATCGATACCTGGGCTAAATTCATAAAACTCTCCACTTCACATTATTTACGTTACAGAAAACATACAGAACAGAAATTTAATTCTGAAATCTGTTAAACATAGCTTTAAACAAAAGCAGAAACGTCTTCTTTCAACAAAGTCAACTTTCAAGCATGGATATTCACTGCCATAGCAATGCATATCATTACATGTATTACACCAGGAGCCCCTGGTGGTCCAGTGGTAAGGGCGCCGCACTATCACCGCGGAGACCCGGGTTCGATTCCCGGTCAGGGCCACTCCCGGGCAGGTGGGGCTCGTTAGCCCTTAAAGGCAACCCACCTACGTCCTAAGGACCTCGCTGCCACCGTCCAAGCTCGCTTGGCCCCGGCAGATGAACCTTAGGATTAAAGGGTGGGCTCAGTTCCGCGCACACTGTGTCTCACCTAAAAAATCCAATGCGCAGGCTGGAAGGTGGAAAGACCTTCCCCGGATCTTCGCTCGCGAAGACTGGCCATTATTTATTATTATTATTATTATATTTATTACACCAGAAGGCCGTAAGCCATTTAAGCTAGAAGGTACAATAATTAGTTACATTTTATATATATATATACTTCAAATTTGGTTGACAATGATATTTTTAGAGCTACAAATGCTCCAAGCCTCATTATCCATGAGGGCACTGGTTTGGCAACTCCCTTTAAGCTTCACTGCTGCTGTATCCCCAAGACAAGACACACATACACGAGTGCACGTGTTAAATTTCGCCCATTCTTCCATATGGATAATAGAACTGGTAATTCTCAAAGGAATCAGGAATCAGCAGCAGCAAGGAAGTCTATAGAAACATGTCCTTAAAAAAATGCCCCAAACATTTTCCAGATGAAAAGTAATTAAGACACTTAACATAATCAAAAAGATCTTGCAAGAAGCAATTCAACAGCCACAGAGATCATGCATGGCTGCTATCAGTTCCAGCTCTCTGGGAATCATGCCTCTACCATTATATCTGTTGTCCATCTCATTCTCTGTATTTCATTGTATTTTTTCTATTAAGGGTTCCACCCTCTCCTTTATCCCCCTGCTTCTTCTCTGGGTGCATTTGTTTCTCTTATCTACAGGGACTGAGAACATCAATCCCGTAAGCCAGTGTCCTAATCAGATCTCTCCTGGTTCAGCATCTCCACATGATGTACAAACCTTATATGACACACTGGTTTTGGTACATCATTTGTTCAATGTAAATAAAACTGGTCATTTCGAGTTAAAATTAGGCAAGTTTTCTCTCTGTGTGTAGTCATCAAACTTAACCTCAGCTTTGCCAAATGTATTCCATCCTGTTACCAATAACCCCGTGACTTCTCACAGTCCAGTACTGCCAATCCTTATTCCTTATGGCTCTCCTTTAGGGTTCAGCACGCATCAGTAGAAGCTCCAGGGGACGCAGAACTGGGAAGCACAAACAGACAACTCTGAAGCAGCTGCAACCTCCTATTCTTCTTGTCACTCTCTTCGGCAGGTAGGCTGTTGCTGCTCTTGTTTCCTCAACCCCACCACTGCCGCCACATCAGCCATCACCTACAGAGACAGCAGGTCTGTCTGGAAGAGGTTAGACAGTACGAGGAACTGATATCAGCAGATCTGGGCCTCCTGCACGAACACCAGAAGCAGAAGAAACAGTTGGAGAAACTCTCTAGGTAGTGTCAAGTCCAGGCTTCCCGAATGCACAGCTCTCAGCTGCGCCAATGAGCAGCTCTAAACCTTGTGTCAGTAATGAAATACATCCTAGGACTTCCACACAGAAGCTCAGCCATGGGATTTGCTGTGAGCACACCTGCTCATGCAATTTTTGGATCATTTGGGAATCGGCTACAAGTGCTAACAGAAATGAACAAGGCTCTGCCTCATGCTCCACACCCAAAACAAAACAACTGACAGAAATAAAGATGAACTACAACATATTTAATCTTGAGAATCAACTATGCTTTTATATTTGATCCCTCCCATGGATGCTACACTTCAATCAAACCAGGAGCAAGGGAACTGCCACAAGATTTTCCAGGAACACCTATGATCTATATCCCACCGTTAAACAATTTTTGGCACTATGTTCCCAATTTTGATAACTACTTTTGGCAGCACAGTTTTCTAAAATCTTAACAGTAATTTTACAAACCACATGCAAAAGTAAAAAATCTAAACATGTACAACCTAATTTTTCAATTTCTTCAAGGATAATAAAGGAAAAACATACAAATTCTATATGCATAAAAGCTTCACGAGGCACAATGAATGAGGAAATGTTGAAAGGAGGAGAAAATGGATTTCCCATGGACATTCAGTATTATAACTTAGAAATCCAGCTGGTAATGACAACTGGATTATAATGGGCAGTTTTTCACACACCCTGTTTTGCCTGTAGAAAAGAAATGTTTGCACATTAATCCGTTCAGTGGTGCAGACAGAATACTGTCACTTTTTTTCACTTATGAATTTCAATCAAACAGGTATGATTTTTGCCTTCTAATATTGAACAGTTTCACCCCCTCTCAAATTTTAAATGGTGTTACATTTTTAAGTTATGGTGTGAAAGTTGAACAATGCTTTTGCACATTGGACCGCTGCCTCTGTGTTTTGAAACTTCCAATAAACAACTTGCTCTGCTTTGATTTTCACTGCCAAATTCACACTTCTCAAACACAGTCAACTTTCATTCTTATTCAACTTATTTTCTGGTTCCCTTTCTACTTACACACTGTGCAAACATTCAGCAATTTCCTGGAAAAGCTAAAAAAAGCCAGTATGACTCTTGGTGATTATATGTTTCTTCTGGAAAAATTAGTTTCATTTGAATAATGTAATTTCCCATTTTCAGACTAAGGAAATTGTAATTACAAAAGGAATTTAATGAAAATATCTCCCTTGAGCAAAACTGTCTTCCCTTTGCGTAAAGCTCAGTAAAAATGTAAGAAGGAAAAGGTATTTTCTTATTTTTCCCCCGGCTTCTTACACAGAAAGTCAATTCTGGAAAGTGTTTTATCTATAAATTATCTTGCATAGCTTTGACTGCATTTCCACTGAAGCCTAAAGAGTACCTCGTCAATAGTATCACAGGACACTCTACACTAACATAAAGTTCACCATCATCAAACAGATGCACTTTCTCTCAGTTCCATGGTTACATCCTCTCACCACTTATCTTGCTGCTTCTCATCTGGTTTTCTCTAGCCCTTGAAGTGGTTTAATTGATAAAAGATCAGAAGGAATATCTGAAGCAAAAGTTTTTCTACCACATCAGTGAGCTGAACTGGCTCAACATAAGATATATCAGATACAGAAATTACTAATATCATTCACAATAGAGATCATTATGTCTGCAGTAGTCCTGGTATTTTGCACTGCAAATAGTACAATTAGTTACACTATAAAATAAAACATCATTTGATTTTTTCCATAATTCACACCATTTAGTGAGTAATTACAAGGACGGAGATTCCACAAACTCTTTGGGCAACCTGGTCATGAAAACATAGAAAATTTAATATCCTTCACTAAAAAAAACCAAAACCAACCAAAAAAAACCAACAACCCACAACAACAACACCACCCCAAACAAACAACAACAAAAAAACAAAACACCACTAAACAGAGAATTTAGAAGGGCTGCAAATATTCGGTAACTAACACTTCTGGAAACTGCATTACATTCTTCTGTAGAAAAGACTGAAGAGTGATATATAAAATAAGTAGAGCACCCAGATACTCTGAAAAGCTAAAACTATGGACAATGGCAGAACATGAAATCTCAGGTACATCTTCAAATACCAATGCAAAGATATATTACTTTGTTGCAAAAGAGAAATTATGGGAACTTCATCAGCATAAAGAATAAATCACAGCACAGTTGGGATTCCAGGGTCAATCTAGGTCTACATTCCAGATTGAATGCTGTATCTTTGATAGACAAAGTTATCTAAAAATATGACCAAATCAGATTACCATGGAAAAACACTAAAGTTTCTATATTTAAAACCCTACACACTGTAGCATCCAGCTGTGGCAATGCCCAGATAAGTCCTCATTTCCAGCATCATGATTGACTACAATATTTTTTATTATTATATCTATTTATTATATTATATTTTATTATATTTTTATTTATAGAATATTATTTAATTTTTATTATTTTATTTGTATTGTTTAAATGAAATTCAACCTAAGTATAAACTGCACCTCCTCATATTGGAGATATTTAATCATCCACGCTCAAAACAATGTTTACCTGATATAAAACCACACAAAGAAGGTAAAAACAGAAACATGCATGAGCAACAAAATATTCAGATATATTTATCCTCTTTAGAATAATAATGTATTAATACTTCATATATTACATGAAGTTACTATTTCTTGAAAGGAATAAAGGATGAAGTAACCTCTCCACAGCTACCCAGTAACAAATACTGACATCATGTGAATTTCTCTAGATTTGATAACCTTTAATAGAGAAAATCCAATGAAAAACAATCCAGCTGAAAGGACATTCCTGTGAGTCACTTTTATTATAAGGCTAAGTTATGACTGAAGCAAAGAGAAAAACAGAGTGTTTTTTGAAAAATACCTCATTTCTGGTTGGTCAATATTAAGATCCTGTTCTCCTTTAAAAAAATACTGTAATGTAGGTAAGCAAGTTATATATAGTCCAACTCAGTACATCTCCCAAGAATTTACAGAGCATTATATTAATAAAGCATTATATCACATATAAATAAAAAAATAAAAAAAAGATACAGATATAATCAGCCTTACTTCTCCATGTCTTAAAGGTGTTATAGCTCCTCTTGCTACTGCCATTCGGAACAATGTTTCTGTGGCCTGCATCAACAAACACACACACAAATTTGTTACTGAAAAAACAGACAATGCAGCTCATGAAGATTTATTTCAACTCTTATAACATTTTTAAAATTTTCTGCTACCTTCTAGCCCCTATTTTACACTTGAAACCCTCAAGTAAGTAATTCAGACCAATCTGCACAGTTTAGGCAAAAGTTTATTGCAAGGTGAGACCTGTATCGAGGATTTTGGTTTCAGCATAAGTAACCACCTGAACAGTGCACAGACCTCCCCAACACCGCAGCTGTTCCACAAGACTCTTTTTGCAGGTCAGATACACTCAGCCATATAATGGTCTTCCAGAGGCTACCAGGTACAAGTGGCATACTGAGGGAAAAATAGCTGTATGGTATTTCATAACTCATGCTATTTAATGATATACACTGAAATTGACAAATGAGTATGAAAAAATAGTATGAGTCAGCTCTTTTCCTAAAAGAACCTGAGCCTCTCTTAACTCTCAGTAATGGTGGTATTACAAAACACAACCCCGTCATGTGCAAATGACAGGGAACACAACTTTGGGGAAATCTTTAATTAGGTTGATCTTTAATTAGGTTGTATATCTTTCTGTGTCAGTCAGCCCATCCTTTCCTTAATCCAGTGGGAAAATTAGCATGTACTTCTGACATTATATATAGATTAATAGTTTAATGCAAACTATAATACGTTCTGTACCACCATTCTCTCCACAAGATGGTTGCAAAAAGGCAAGAAGAAAAATTCCCAGGTTACATAAATTCATGGATTGGTACATCAGAGTACATATGAACAGATTTGTTTTAAAGACTTGTTTCCATAGCAAACAGTGAAGCCAGTTTCAATTTCAACTGTAACAAAACATGGTTCTAATATCTGGTTCTAATTAAGAAAATACTCTAACATTTAAGGATCTATGTTAAGGAGCAGTTAGCAGGCTGTTTGGAAAAAAAATACCACATTTAGAAAGTTTATAAATAAAAGCAGTTTGCAATTGCTGATCATCTTTCTAAATAGAGATTTTAAAAATCAGCAGCTCAATGCTTCCATGACTGCAAAACTTGCTGGGTTTCTGCTACACTACCTTAGGACAGCTGTATCTCAACAAATGTAATATTGAAGACATCACTTGAGATTAATTCCTCAGTCTTCCTAGACACAGATTACGTGCGTTTTACCCTTTTCTAAATAATTTTCTGCAGAAAATAACTTAATAAAATACCTTTTTATTACCTTATGTTCTGCCCATATACCTGTAAATGAACGTGTGCACTCCAGAACACTGGGCTGCAAAACCTATTACTTCATTCACACCCAGGAGGATGCAGGGCAATGCCCCACTGCAAATCTGTTTCTCAGCCCTTTCTTCTCTGAGAGATGAAGTGAACCCCATACAGCCTTTTGTATTTCCCAAAATCGGCTTCTTTCACCAACATTTTTAGGGATGTTTCAACCAAATTGAGCATTCTCTCTATACAGCTAAGCTGCTTTCGTTTCTTTTGAAAACCATTGGTGTGCATGACTTTCTTTTCAATCTACTTGTAAAAGCTCTCCCTTAATACACTTGTACTCACATTGTTAATGCCAGATGTCAAAGCCATTCAGAAATGAGGAAACATCACAGCAACAGCACACATAGAACCACAGACATCCTCCTATGGGCCACCCTTCATGTGCCGGGCTTCACTTAGAAGATTAGCACTACAATCACAGCTTCTCACCCAAACTGCATGGGGGGATGAGGCCACCTATAGCCATTCCCAGACTGACAATGACAAGGCCAGAGAAAGAGCTATTGGGGTTTTAGGCAAGTAAAATCCAAGAGGATGCTTAAAGAAGTTTACCTATCAAAGGTATAACGGGTCTAATTTTACCACTGTATAGTCTTTAGGGTGAAGGAGGTGGACATCGGCAGAAAATACTTTACGCCTGCATCCTTTTGACTTTTTAACACCTTCACAGGACTATAACATCACACAGACTAATGATAAAAGTAATCAGCTGGCAAAATTTTGCCAGTCTTTAAATACATCTGTAACACTTCTGTTTTTTCAAAGTTCCTGCACAGTCTTCAATTTCTATTTTTTTTCCTTTCTGCCCTATAAATGCAGACACAAACAGAATTCTACTGGAGCGTGTCCAAACAAAGGCAGTGGAGGTAGGAAAGGGTCTGCAGCACAAGTCTTATTAGGAGCAGCTGAGGGTTGTTTAGCCTGGAGAAAAGGGGGTACCTTATGACTCTCTACAACAATCTGAAAGGAGGGTGTAGTGAGGCAGAGATCAGTCTCTTCTCCCAAATAACAAGTGATAGGACAAGAAGAAATGGCCTCAAATTGCACCGAGGAAGTTTAGAGTGGATATAAGGAAAAATTTCTTCCTGGAAAGGGCTGTCAACCACCGAAACAGGCTGTCCTTAATGCTCCACAAAGAACAGATGAAAAGAAAACTGCACAAATGAAGAATTCCACATCATCAATGAAAAAACAACAATGAGCTTCCACACTTCATACACTTTCTGAAATTCCATATGTGATAACATCTTGCTGAGAGTTAAGAGGATCCCTACAAGACATCCAATCTACTTTGACTAAAAACCTAGGTTATTGAACACATCTTGCCTGGTCTATATCTAATTTCAAATCTACTAAAGTTATTAGTATAACAATAGTCAATATTCATGCTGCATAATATTTGCATACAACTTATTTCAATACTGATGAAGTTTAAATCCCTCGGACACAAATGTCATAAGAATTTTAAATAATGTGTTAAAGGTATTAAGTATATTGAACTGGGAAGTTTATTTCATTGTATTAAATCTGATAAAAATATGCAGAGTACTGCTGACACAAATCATGCCAGGCAAAACTGTCCATTTATGAAATAATAACACTATTCTCAAAGACACTGCTGACTAGGAATGTAACTGATTTTTAACTGCTTCTGCACTAAATATTACATTATAATCAGATTATTTAGGAAGTTGTAAAAATTTTAGATTTATTCGCATTCAGTTCACTGTGAATAAACCTAAAATAAGAATCATTACAGGCTTAGGCAATGACTTCAGATACCTCTACTCAGTGATGGGAGTGAGAAAGCAAATTATGAACATGTAGTTTTAGTGATCTCAGTGTGAAATAAATGTGTTGCCAAGCTGATTGTTACTGAATCCTAAAATTGTTCTTCATTATAAAGAATGTACAGTGTGTTACATTATGTCAGAGGTGAAATGGCAGCCTAACTTATCTCACTACTCTATAACACCATGCAAGCTCTAATGTCATCTCCAGACAAAGATGACCAACTTTTCCCACTCCAAAAATAGAAGTTGCTTCTGATCAAATTCCATGCAACTGGGTTTAAAAAATATATTTAGAAAAAAGAGAGAAACCACTTGTACACAGAACTAAAGTGGAAAATAATGGTGCATTATTGATGGAAATGGTAGGAAAAAGAAAAAAACCAGTACTTTAGATTCCAGATGTTTCTAATTTTCTAAGTATTCGCAAAAATAAAATGGTCTTATAATAAGTTATCAAAATAGTTACTGTTTTACCAAACTTAAAACTGCAAATGCAAGCAGTGGAGGGAACTGCTCATGCAAATTCATTACTTTAGAAATGCATGTTTTTTAATCACCTGACACCTTTTGGCATCTACTTCTAATTGTGCATTAAAAAAAAAAAAAACCCAACCAGAAAACGAAACTATTTCATTAATATGAAAATGGTGCAAATTGTTTACAAGAACAAAAATGAATGCAATACCACAAAAGACATCTTTTCACTATTAGGTTTGCTGATCTTGGATACAACAGCTAACTGACAGCTCTGGCCTATAAAATTTGTGCTTCTCCATGAAAAGCAAATTACATTATAAAAAGGTTTTTGACAGATGATCCAAAATCATCAATAACATCTTTCAACTTGATTACATGTGAACTATTGCTATAGCCCATATTAGCTCACCATCACACAACTTTTGAAAACAAGAGTGAGTGAGATTCAGAAGGGTGAGATTCAGAAGCAACAATGCAAAATGAACAGGAAGCTTCTGAATTTTTTTCTCATGAATTCTGTACACAAAATGCCAAGTGTAAGGGAACCTCACTCCAGATGACAGATTTAACTTAACTGAGAAGCTTAATTATTTTTACAACTTTCGATGAAATTACTACAATACCAATATAGAATATGCTGCCATCCTATATATTTTATAGACTTAAAATATTTTATTTTTAAGATATGTTAAAATACAACACTGAAGCTGAACCGAAACCTTTAAAGAGACAGATATTTAAGTTCCTACTTTCTGAAAAACCATAAAAAACTCAATTCATTCCACTTTACAGATGTGAATTTCATACACCTCCATCTTTTACTTTTTAAAAGGAGTCTGAATGTGTCCACCTTCATTACTGAACTGTTGAAACCTTACTTGTCCAATGAGTAGATCAGCACATATTTGACTTCTGCGAGACACAAGTTCTTTCCAGACACTCATTAACAGATCAATTAATTTCTTACCTTTACCTTCTACAAAAGCAACTTAATTGTGAACTCTCTAAAGACTAAGCAATTTAACACCCACGATAAAGCATATTTTACAGAGTTCATTAAAGTCTTGCATCTATTTTCTGAAACTTCTCAAATTTTTTCCCAAATTCAGCTTTTAGAATACCCAGAGAAAACATTGCACCAAACACCCATCTCTGCATTCCGTAATACTTGATCTCCCTTTCCTCTGGTTACTTCCACATTTGTGCAAACAAAGGACACACCTGGCTGTGTCTCTTATACAGCAGAAATACTATATGAAAACTGTTCTTCTTTCTCAAATGATATATGAGTGTTGATTCCCTAACTAGATGTTCGAGGATTTGCAAAACTCATCACTAATATAGCATAAATAAACCAGTATTAAAACTAACAAGACTAATAGCACAGTAACTCCCTTTGACTTAAGTCTTGCTCCTTCCTGAGAACATTTGCAAATTT